CATCCACAGCTTCGCCGAATTCCTTAGCAGTTAATCAACATACTAGAACAAGAATACATGCGCCCTAAGTGACTTTGTTAAGCAGTTTAAGGATGGTAACTTCCACAGTTCCACCTCATATTTCAAGAGGGAATTCAATTACAAGATTCTCAGAATGGTTTAGACTAGATTTATACCTCTTCCCTAGATAACTGGTTCTCCTTCAATGATCAATCCCATTGCAAACTAGATAGTGATGCCCCATTGCTAAGGCATTTACTCCTATACCGACCCTGAGACATTAATTAATAGCCTTGGACTAGGAAAAACATCAAGAGAAGAGTTTTTTTTTTTTTTTTTCTCTTTATGTAAATTCAACATGACCATGTTCCGGCATATCTCTTCAAAAAAACACATGACCACGTTAATTAGCTTTTACATGGAATATAAATGGGTGTGTGTCTTGCTATTATACATGTATGGAGGGTCATCTTCAATTATGGAGAGAGGTTCTTCATGAAGAACAATGTGTTGAGGCAATCTTATGAAAAATGGATGGCTTAAAGCCAAATTTAGCATGTGGGGGAGACTTCCATTTACACACCCATTACTTGATCTACAGAGTAAAGCCTTTAGCCTTGATTCCAGAAAGTTTCAAATTGGAATCTCCATTTCAAAATTTTCAACTGGGGTCGTCACCCTGATTTTGAAATATTTTGCATCACATCGCATTGTCAAAGAAGATATTATCGCAGTACACCTAAGGGCATTGATAACTACTACGTCCCTCTGAATCCATAAGGAGAGGATCACATAACACATCATTAATGGTGCTTGATGACTTTATGTTGATGATAATTCACAGGTCAACCTCAGTCCAAAAGAACCCAAATTTTCATAACTAAGAATATGAACACTACATCGAAAGACTTACAAAGGGGAAGCCTCTAATGTAAAAAATGTAATGCATACATTCTTCCACCATTCTTCCACCTTCTTTAATAATTCAAAAGTAGAGTTCGTGAAGCTGAATCTTCTCAAACAAAAGACAATCTAAAATATTAACAACAAAACTATAGTAAAAATATGGATATCAGAAAATCATGAAAACCCCATGTACCTGTCGTGTTCGCGAAACACCTCCATCATCAGGAAAGATGGGGACTTTCTGCAAATAAAACACTCAAAATAGCTTAATCAAATTGCAAATAATTTGCAAGTTGTGGTCAACTGAAAATTATAATTTACTCTAGAAATCCCCATGACTAACCTGAGGTTTCCACCCCAGCTCATCAGGACAGCGGAAAGTAGCTTCATTGACTGCTTGACGCTCAATTGCGAACCTTGTCGCACCACTGTTAACCCCAAAGTGAAGCTGAAGAACAAGTTCACAAATAGGATAAGTACTCTACTTTCTAGCTACCACAGCATAACCCCAAAGAGATGGTGAAAAACTGAAATGAGCTTAATGGTTATAGTATCAAAATCAGGATTTTAAGAAACAAAAAGCTTCAAATGAAACTAGCTATCCTGCCAAACTCGTCTCTCATCTTGGAAGTTCTCATTTGAAAAAAAATGTTTGACCAAGGCAGGCAAACCAGAAATTGATACATATTCAGCAAAAACTAAGTGTGTTTTCCAGATAGGTACTTTTAAAAATTACAAGTACTCCAAACTGGGTTTAAGTGTGAGAGGTGCAAACAGAACCAATTATAAACTAGGGTTTTACATACACTTTCATTTGAAATAGACTTGAAATCAGCCAGTTGGATCAATAAAGATATATAATTTAATGTTTATTTCTCATGGAATCATTTATTATCCATTTCTACTTGTTCAAACATAAACTAATAAGAATGCAGATTTTACTTACCCAAATAACCTGCCCCGAGTTTGAAGATTCAGAGTTCGGCCTAGTTATTGCTGACTGCAATACCTGATAGAGGGGAAGAAGAGCCCCTTGTCCTGCAGTCTCAAGAACATTGCAACTCCCAAGAACCAGACCTTTTGGCAAACCTTTCTTTTTCACAAATTCTTTTAGATTACCCACAATTGTCTCAGTTGGATTCTCTGCAACTCCATGGAATTTCTTAAATCCTGTCACATGGACTGTTATGACCGAAGGCCCTTCCGACCCCATTTACGAACAGAAGTGTAAATAACGAATCTCTTTCAGCGAAATCGTCGTTAATATCTTATTAACTGCAACAAGAAATGGGAACTGAATGAAAAAAAAATTTAAGAATGATCACAGAACTATAAGTTTAGAAACATGGAGAAAGAGGATGATTTCCTAAAATAAATCAACTTTCTTAGTTTTTGGGACAATCCTTCTTAAACCAAACACCCAACAAACAAACAAAAAAATGATCTAGAAAGGACTAGCTGACAACTTGTAAAAAATTAGCCAAAAAATTAAACCCAATTAAATATGAGGAAAGATAAACTAATTAAATCCCCCAAGAGGATCAAAGAACAGATACCCTGTAATCAATTCTTACACAAAAGAAGAAAAAAACAACAAAATAAGAAACAAACTTGAAAGTAATTTAAAACCAAAACCCAATTGGAATTATAGGCAGATAAGCAAAATCAACAGATCAAGCACCTAAACTGATCATACAATTCATAACTCAAATAACCCACCTCAGATAGAACAGATAGATTAAAAACACTTAGAAAAAAAACAAGTTAAAGTAAATCATTTGATACTCAAACAAATAAGGATCATGAAGACTCTTACCTACAATTCTCTGTTAAAAAGAGTGATTGATATGATTCCTTTGTATAATAGAGAGATCTCTGTCTCTAGACCTAAAATTAAGAGAGAGAAAGAAAACAGTGAGAAGGTGGTGAGAAGTCTCTTTCAGTGAGCATGGGAGTTTACAAATTACAATACAGAGAGACAAGAAGAGAATAATAATACTTGAAAAAATAATACCAAAACAGCAAAATCAATTGAAATCCCAACAAGGGTTTGGGAATTTGGTACCTGGTTGGGTCTAAAATCTAATGGGTTCCTTTCACTTGTTAAGCTGTTTTATGTATCTGTGTATAATCCAAAACAAACCCATGTATGTAAGAATTGTACATGACCAAGGAATCAGCTTGATCTAGAGTTTTGTTCTAACCATCCATAGGTACACCTTCCAACAAAGAACCTTCTTTTGTCCTTTAATGTATTATGGTTCTGGCAGACAAAAAAAAGTATAAAGTTTGTTTAGCCGCTTTGATCATCTCTTCTCTGATGCCCTGGATTTTCATCATCAAAAAGCTTTCTCCTTTAGGTTCTAAAGAAGTGGGCCACAGATCTTTGATTAGTTTTTAACTTTTTAAGTGGCATTATTTGGGTGATTAACATTGACTTAGCAATGTATTTCTTTTAAAAATGTATATATATACATACGTAATCCCCAATTAAAAGGACAAACATGAGCATATCAGTTAACAACCATCTTCACAATCACAATGCTTTCAGCTATCAACAACAACAAATTTTACCAACTTAAGCAGATGGACAAATAAAAGCTTTTTATTAAAAACAGAAAGACCATTACAACCTCATTGTAATAGACAGGGCTTTTTGGTTTGTACCTTAAATTTTGCATCATAATGAGGATCAGTAAACATCTCTATCTACCTTTTAGATTCTACAAAACAGAATGGTTTTGATCTATTGTGGCAAAGGACGATTTAGATTTATCTTTAGTTAAAATCCAACTACTTCAAGTTTTTAACAAAAGAAATTATTTTTTAGGTTGTTCTCCTCATTATTTAGATCATCATATTAGAAAACCAGTCTATTATAAAATTTCTAACTCGCTCAAATCAGACCTTAAAAAATATATTAAGTTTTAAGCATTTTTACTGATCATTGATTTTTGATAAATTTTTTATGGGGTTAAAAGTTTTATAATAAAATTAATCTCTAGATATGATGATCTACATAGTGAAAAAATATGTTCGCGAAAATTTGGCCCATCATCTCCATTTGAATCCACTTTTGTCAAAATAAACAAATGGTGCAATAACCCGACTCAATTTTAAAAGAATAGAATATATATTTTGATGTAAAAGCATATGTGATTGGGTTGAGTGGTCCATCTAGACAGGGAACCTGGACCAAAAGAACCAGAATGATTATGTGTGAAACACCCTATAGAATAGGAATAGCATTGCACTTATCTAGGGTGAGGAAATGTTCATCCACGGAAATCTCTCCCTACAATCCTCACATCCAAACATTACTCCTAATTTTGTATTGAACCTGCAAACTAGGGGTGTCAATGGGTACCCAAATATTCGGAACCGAACCGGTACCGCAACCGTTTTTTACGATTCTGGGACCTCATTTTTTGGATCCGATTAATTTCGGATCTACCCATTTTGGATCCGTTTAATTTCTGATCCACCCAACGGGTACCCGCGGGTACCCGGTTCCGTATAAATTTTATAATTTTATAGTTTAATTTACTATTATACAACAAATTTTTAATTTTTTTAATTAACAAAAGAAACTAATCATTATTATACAACAAATTTCACAATAAAATAAATTTTATAATTGAATAGAATACGAAAATATAAAATACAAATATGTTTTATTTGCAAAAAAATAAAAAAAATAATCATTAAAAACGGGTATCGGGTACCCGCGGGTACCCGCGGATTCTAGCGGTACCGGATCCGTAACCACCAATTGAAGTTCCGAAACCGGAACCGGTAGGATCCAGAACCGCTTCAAATTAACGGAACGGTTCTCGAACCTTTAGGTTCCGATCCGGAACCGGCCCGTCGACACCCCTAGTGCAAACTGCAAAGCCATGAAACTTGGCAGACTCCTGTAGCCTGCCTGCGATGAGACATCACTCTATCTCTCTCCTATCTCTGCACTTCGGACACCCCCAGAAGCTCAAACCCTAGAAATTAGGGGTTTTTGATTCAGATGCTTATTAGACACTCCACCACTTCCTTCATGGTTGTTCGCAGAAAGAGCTCAAAACCACTAGCATATCAAAGAAATGGCACTATCCTACTCTGCTTTTATCAAACCCTTGCCAGAAAATTCTATCCAAAGGCGGGCTTTTCTTTACTCAGATGACCGGGATTTCTCTGTATCTACTACTGCTTTCCATAAAATTTCTGTAAGTTTCTGGTCTGTGAATTTTTCCATTTCATGGTAGATTATCTGTTTTTTTAGTGTGATTCTGGTTATTTATAGTAAGATAAGCTCTGGTAATACCCAATTATTGAATTCTGAATCATGTTCATTTGAAGATAAATGAGGGTTTCAGTCATTGTCTGAGGGGTGTTTCTTGAATTGCTTTGATTATTTGCTTGAATAGTTGAACTTCCTCTTCGTATGGCTAAATTAGTACCAAGTTGATCATTTTGTGTGTTGGCTGAGCCTAACTGATTATTCAACCTCTTGTTGTTTTCATGTGGGAAGAAATATTTTCAGTAACAAATATGGATTGTAGGATGTGAAGTCATATTCTGTAGCAAAATTTATGAGTTTCTTGATGTCAAGGCGTTCATTTGGACTACCCGTCGTCTGATTGAAGAACTCAATGCATCTGTTTGAGCTGGCAATCCTCTATTTTCTTTTTTGTATTGAGTCTCTCATTAAACATCTTGATTCATTGAAGTTCATCATGATTGTTGTAGGTTGCAAGGAAGTGTGTTCCTTCAGCATTTGATGGCCGTATTCTGCTCTATGGTAGTGTTGCCGATTTCAGCCAGAAGTTTTGTGGCTTAAAATGTTGGATACTTGAGAAGCTCAAACTTGAAATACCAGACAGAAAATGTGGGTTGGGAAGAGACTCGAAGAGGCTTGAAGTCCAAGGAAAAGATCACCACCGAGATCATTCAGTATTTCCATTATCATCTCATAGCAAAGCTCCTGAAGAAGTATCTGTTACAAGGTTTCTGAATGGTTAGTAATAGTTCACATTTCTTAAGAGTCCTTCATAAGCTGTTTAGCCTCAAAAGTTTGGATAAAAGGAATAGAAACATTACCTGATTGTTTGACTTCAATAATAATAAGAGATTATTCCCTTTCCCATGTTTCTGGTAATATTTGTACATCAACTAACTGAAATATGCAGAGTCAGTTGAAGAAACAAAAACACCAATTCCTCAGTTTGAGAAAACTACTTTACCAAATAATCAACCAATTCTTTCAGAAGACCTTTCTGTTGCCGTGCGATCTTCGTCGTCAGTGCGAACAAAAGCAAATAATTTTGACAGCGAGGGTGGTAGAGTACCTTCGCTTTGCATTTCTGTTATAGGGGCTACTGGTGAGCTGGCAAGAACAAAGATTTTTCCAGCATTATTTGCTCTATATTACAGTGGATTTCTTCCCGAGGTAGCATGCTTTATCTTTCTCTCCTGCTTGTGTTAGGGGTTGAAAAGTTTCTGTTCTCTCACTTATAATTATTTTCACTTGCTATTTTGAGTTTAACTGTGAATATAAATTTTCCTTTAAATTGTATTTATTTGATTTCTCATAGTTCATCCATCCTGCTGGTTTCTGTTAACCCCTTAATCAGTTATTCTACTCATACCATTTTGTCATTAATTTTCTGATGCATATTAGGAATGCTTGCATGAAACAATGTTTTTTTTATGGTCAGTTTCCATCTTTTGTTCCCCCTTCCAATCTGCATGCTTTGCCACAATGCCTTTGGAAAAAAAAGAAAAAAGAAACTCTAGCTTGGCTTAGAGCTTGCTTCCATTTCGTCCTATAGGAGTCTAGGCTGAACTTGGGCCCTTGTTTTGATTGTCATCCTCTTTGACCAACTTCTGATCATCATCTTGGTATGCTATTACCTCACTAGCTAGCTAATTACATGTAATGAGGTTTCATTTTACACTTGATCAGAGCATCTTATAAAAATATATTACGTTGAGTTTGTAGATGGAATTATCTGTTGTCTCTTTAGCTCTTGGTTGGAGAAAATGTACAAACCAGAAAATGATTGAGCTTCTATGTCCATTGAGGTAGACATGGTGGTACTTACCAGTTTTAGGGATTCAAATAGTGATATAAATAACAGAAGAACTCTGTATTAGACCGTTAGACGTGCATTTTTTAAATATTAAATATCCCTTATATGCATAAATTTATCACTGACATGAATTGGTAGGTTTGACTTAATGGGGCCCAAAATATAAAACAGCTTATACAAGAGGTCATAAAGGAAAAAATCAAATCCCTACTAATATATTTTCAATGATAAATTTATTAGTAAGTATATTTGATCCCTCTCTCATATTTTTTGTTTTTTTGTGCTATTGTTGCAGAATGTTGGAATTTTTGGGTACTCACGAAAGAATCTGACGGATGAAGATCTGAGATCTGTAATTGCATCAACATTGACTTGCCGCGTGGATCATCAGTATGGTTATCTTGACTAATTATTTTCCTTTAGTTCCTCTTGAATAAATTCTTTCATACGATCATTAAATTCTAGATTATTGTATTGAAACATGTAGCTTGATAAGCTACATCTGTGTTTCAAGATCTACCCTGGGACATTGTAATGGGATATGAAGTATATGGATTGCATCTTGGTCTATTTTCTATAGGTAGTCATATAACAAGAAGTTTTTTACTTTGTTCTTCTGCATTGTCCTATTCCATGATCAAGTAGCTGATAATGAAGATATTAACCAAGAATACAAAACATTACTCTACAGACAAAACTGCGGGGACAAAATGGATTCTTTTCTCAGTAGAACTTACTACATTAATGGAGGCTGTAACAACAGAGAAGGGATGGCAAAGCTAAATGCTCAAATGGAAAAGATTGAGGTGAAGTTAATGCAACCTAGATAATTTGGTCATTGAGAAACTTGTCTTATTTTTCACAAGTCTCGTTTTGCCTTCTATTTTGTTAGCTAGCTGCTGCATTTGATAATTCATTTTTTGATGGTTTACCTACCTCAGGGTGAATCTGAAGCAAACAGGATATTTTACCTTTCTGTGCCACAAGAAGCACTTCTTGATGTTGCATGCTCTCTCGCTAATAATGCCCAAACCCAAAAGGGCTGGAATCGTATAATAATTGAGAAGCCATTTGGTTTTGATGCAGTGTCTTCATATCAACTAACACTGGCTCTTCTCTTGAATTTTGAAGAGAAACAAATATACAGGTGAAAGTATAAATGTTCTTCATCATTCTCATTTTGTTATTTCATTGGTAATTTGCATTTTAGTATTAAATTGACCGGATGGATCAATGTCTTATCTGATTAAGTTTTGCTTCCAGGATAGATCATCTCCTGGGAAGAAACCTAATTGAAAATCTTACTGTACTAAGATTCTCAAATCTGGTCTTTGAACCATTGTGGAGCCGGGCTTATATACGCAATGTGCAGGTATACTTCTTCTGTTGGACTGAGACCAGCTTAGAGCTTTTCAGAGTATCTCAGAATCTTCACTGACTATTTAAATTGTAGGTCATTTTATCAGAAGACTGGGGTATGGAAACAAGAGGAAGGTAATCTAGGCTTGTTCGAGTAAATCAAGTAACCGTTTCATTACACTTGTATCAGTTATATGTAATAGAAATGGTTGTTTGATTAATCTTGTTTCTTGTACTTACAGGTATTTTGATGGTTATGGGATCATCCGAGACATAGTCCATAGTCATATACTTCAGACTATCGCGTTGTTTGCTATGGAACCACCCATTAGTCTCGAAGATGAAGATGTTCGAAATGAAAAGGTAGAATAATCTTTACTCAAAGGATTACTGATAAATTTTTTTTTTAATAACTAAGTATTAAATAAATCTCCGCTCAAAGGATACATGTTATACAAAATGAGAATCCCTTTAATTCGATGTGAATCTTATAATTCAGGTCAAAGTTCTGAGATCAATCCGGATGTTGGAGCTTGGTGATATCATTCTTGGCCAGTATAAAGCTAGTTCTGCAGATAAGGTTGATGTTTATTTGAACACTTTAACACCAACATTTTTTGCTGCTGCTCTATACATTGACAATGCACGTTGGGATGGTGTTCCCTTTCTGATCAAAGCTGGCATGGGTCTCATCAAACACAGGTGACTCCTTGTGCTATTAATTGTAATCACATGGTTGAGTTTTGGTTGTTTGCTTAGTGTCAAAATATACATATCCGAGCTTTTATGCAATTTTAATGCTTGATCGTAAATTGTCAGTATGACAGTTCCTTCCTGCTAAGAGGTTAGGTAGTCGATCCTTTCATACATTTTCTTTTTACTACTTCGTTCAACTTTAGTCATTTATCTGTATTTAGAACCTTGGATTCCAACTCTGAACTATTCTTCTGTTTTTGAGTTAGAATTGGTTGAGTCCAGTCAATAGTAAAATTCTCAATTTTTTGCTTTTCCTTGCACAATTGAGCAACTTCATATGGTGCTTCTGAACAGCTATATGACTGGCAAAATTTTAAATTAGTCACTGAGTTTTCGACTTCTGGTAACCTTCCTTTGATTTTTATATTTAAGTTTTGTGTTCTGTTAATCACAAACTATTAGTGTGCACATATTCATGGATAAATTCCTGCTTGTACTGCTGACAAGTCTACAGTGTAGAGTCTGTAGACTTGGGGATTGCCATGTCCAACTGGTTAGATTTCATGATCCATATGGTTAAAGTGTTCCTCAGTTCCACCAATCAAAAGAAAAAAAGAAAAGAAACAAGAGTTTTGCAGTTCCCAAAGGCTTTGTTAGAATCTGATTCTACAGGAATTCCTAGCTTATACATATCTACTTCTTTGAACCTCTTTAATTTGTGGTTGTCTATTAATATATCCTTGTGTATTTGGAATGGGAATTTCCTGCACATGAACAGAATTTTAGTCAAGTGGTGCACTTGCTGGGGATAGGGATTCACCCTTCGGTACATCCACTGTGAACCTGATAAACAGTTCATGTAACTTTCCAAAAGAAAGTGGAATAATAATAATAGATGGTTTCTGTTGTATGATTGAGAGCATTTTTTACCTGTTCAATTTCCTTCAACTGGACTGTTGGTCCTCAGCCTGGTACCACCATGTCGAATACGTGCTTTATTGATTTGGTACCTGTTTTTATTTGCTAACGAAATACAATTCTCGCACAACATTGGCTTATATGCAGAATGGAAATACGCATCCAGTTTCACCGTGTTCCAGGAAACCTCTACCGTGAACGTATTGGTCAAAACATTGACCTTGCCACTAACGAACTGATTCTGCGAGACGTACCTGATGAAGCAATCCTTGTGAAAATCAACAATAAGATACCAGGTTTAGGGTTACATTTAGATGCTTCAGAGTTGAATTTGCTCTACAAGGACAAGTAAGTACTTAACTGATATATCCTATATCAATATGTAAGTTCTTGATTGGTCATGATTTATGTCCAAATGTCCCCTGTAATCCACCAATATCCAACTGTCTATACTGATTTTTTTCTTTGTGGTTGTGGGCATTACAGGTATAATGTTGAGGTTCCTGATTCATACGAGCATCTTCTTCTGGATGTAGTCGATGGAGACAACCATCTGTTTATGCGTAGTGATGAGCTAGCAGCTGGGTGGGAAATTCTTAGTCCTGTTTTGCACGAGATAGATGAGAAAAAGATAGTCCCAGAGCTCTACGAGTTTGGAGGTAGAGGCCCTGTAGGAGCCTACTACCTTGGGGCAAAACACGGGGTTCGATGGGCAGACGACTAGCCGGAGTCCCTTCTTACACTGTTTTAGAACAATCAACTACATTAATCTGAGGCTAAAATAATGGTTGGTAAATGTCTAATAGAATCCCTTCGATTCCGGGTTAATGTAGTAGTTCATAAAGAAAGATCAGATTAGGTTAGTTTTTTGGCCATCTGAAACAGAAATAAACACCTCAGTATTGTATATATTATGCACAAGTTTGGGTGGTTTTTTTGTTGTATTCTACTGTATTTAGTTTTTTCCAATGACTAATAAAAAAGTTACAATGCTGGAACTATTTATGAAACAGGTTTTTGTTCTTAATTGATACTTGTGAATAAAACATATAATGAAAAAATAACAGGTTTTCCAATCTCTTTCATTTTTCATGCTTAGTAGTTCCCCCTGATATTTGTCACCAAAAAACAAAATCTTATAGGAATGCTTATAGTGTTCTTACATGTTCTCTTATCTGTAAATTCAGTTTTGGGCCCTCCCACCAGACTATGAAAATGAAAAATGAAAAATGAATGAAAACAGGAAAAATAAATTCTTGATTTTTTCAAATCTCCTGTATGAAAAAGAAAAAAGAAAAATGAATGAGAACAGGAAAAAGAAATTGCTGATTTTTCCAAAGGAATTTCCTCTAATTGGGGAGCGTGGATAACTTGGTTTTGACAAAAAAAAAAGTTGTTTAACAACAACAAAATTACGAATGTAATCAATCTAACGGCTTACAAATGCCTCTTAGAGCATCCGACTAGTCCTTAGGGTGTGAGCAGACCTCCCTATCCACACACAACCGGTTAAAATCTTATTGTGACTCGACTTCCATTTTGTGAGGTGAGTGTGACCACTTTGACGTGGTGCTTTCGTTTTTTGGGTGATGCACTGATGCTACACCTACACGCATAGGGTACTCAATTTTATGTACACGCTTGCCTATTATTTTTCGTGGCTAATTCATGGGATCCTTGAAATATGTAAGATTAGTGGTGCATCAATTCAATGGCGACACATCCTTTCATTACGGGTGAATCAAAAAATATGAACGGACAGAAATTGTTTTTGTCGTCGTGGAATACGGGCGAAGTTCTCGCTTTGAACTACACTCCACATTTTTAAAATTAGAGACATTTTTTTTAATTGGCCGCTCCGACATTTTCACTCCCACTGTACGCTTTAGTTACTAAGGTCCAAATGAATTTGTGGGTACAACCCTGAATTGTGGGGGCCATGCGAAATTCAATTCTAAACAAAGAACCTTATGACAATGAAGGAAATTGCGTGGAAGTAAATGGTTAAAAGATGATGGATAGATAGAAGCTAATAAGTTCGTGAGGGAAGGAATCCGAACATGTTCGATGTAACAACTTTTGTGACGAGGGAGTAGTAGTAATCAATGTTTGAAAATGACCGTTATAACGGTACAATGGTACGATATCGTTACTGTTATAACGACCGTTATAACACGTTTGACCCCTAAATGGACATTGGTGTTAAATTAGAAAAAACGCATAATAACAAAAAATAACGTAAAATAACAGCCATTATTACATAAAATAACAGTTTTTAAATTTATAGAAAAAATTTAAATATGTTAAAATAATTTTTTATGTTATTTTTTATTTCTTAAATAAAATAACGATCATTATAATTTTTATAAAGATAAAAAACGATCATAATAATGTAACAACGACATTATAATGAAATAACGTAACAGCATATGAGTGGTACCGTTATAATTGTCGCTATAACGGTGGACCATTTTTTAAACATCAGTAATAATTAAAAAACTAATAGTAGTAGTAGTAGGTAGTAGATGAGTAGTAGGTCATGTCATGGATATAATGCCATAGGCACCCCAAATTTGCACACAAAATCATACTCGGAGTCTAATTTGGGTCTAATTTAGGTCTAATTTGAGTCTAATTTAGTCTAAGGCGAGTCTAATTTTGATCTAATTTAAATAAAAGGATTTTGTTAACATGTGCCCTTAGGGCACATGATAAGTTTTTAGGTTTTGTGTTTTGTTTAGTTTCTTAAGGTTGTCCAAATGGGCTGATTTTTGGATATGTATATTATTTATACTATTTGGACCATATCTAAAAAAATCAGCTCACCTCTAGCACCCTCTAGCACCACAAACACTTAATTTAAACTTTAATAGTGTGAATGAACGGCTTACATTTAAAGTGATTTGTTTGGAGGGTTAAATATTTCTGATTGAAAAAATTTTTTATAAAAATCTTATAAATAATAATAATATTATGTCTACAAAAATTCAGCTAATTTGAAGACTTCGAACTTGCAAAAAAACTCCTTCGAAAAGAACCTTATCGTGTGCCCTAAGGGCACACGTTAACAAGACCCTAAATAAAATAATCAAAGGTATTAGCAAAAGTACAGGAACGACAGGGACTGAGGGTTAGAAGACGAAGTGACGTCAGCGTGAATACGTCATTCAGGTACACGATTGATGTTGGCGCGACATGATATGATATGATAAACACGAACCGGTCCAGACCTCAGCAGAATAGAGTTGGTCAAAAAGACAAATTATGACCTTCAAATTAATTCTCGGGGTAGATAAAGATATCCAAATCAGTACTGGACATTTCATATGTCCATCTAAATTTATTGAGCTGGCACCCTCAATCCCCATTCATTGCGTGAAATAGTTATTTGTGAGGACTCCACCACACTAATTATAATAAATGGTAGATTGAAAGTGTCGTCTCAATCCGTTTAAATTGATAGATTGAGGGGCCGGTCCCAAAAATATTTCCGTCTCCAAATTTACATTATCGACGAGTAAAATCTTCTCGATAGAGTGGCTTTAAGAATAATTTAAATTATTAACTCTAAATTATGAGATAAAAGTTGGTAAAGATGTGACGTTTCTGCTTCCGCTCTAAATCACGCTCCACCGTTCCTGTATCGAAGGCATTTTAAAAATTAAAAACATTTTTTAATCGATCAATTCAAGGATTTTAATTTCGTTCTCGTTCGCGCTCCACACTCTGATTATAAATATTATTATTATTTATAAGATGTCCACAAAAAATCAGCTCAATCATAAATATTTAACCCTCCAAACAAATCACTTTAAATGTAAGCCGCTCATTTACACTATTAAAATTTAAATTAAGTGTTTATGGTGCTAGAGGTCTCCGATTGAGCTGGTTTTTTTAGATATGATCCAAATAGTATAAATAATATACATATCTAAAGATCAGCTCATTTCGACAACCTTAACAAACTAAACAAAATACAAAACCTAAAAAGCTTATCACAAAATCTTATTTTGTTTGCCATGTATAAGTAAACGAATTATGAGCTAGTCAGGAGATGGGTAGTTGTGTCCCATCCCACCAGACTAGGGCACCAGATTTGGATATCTTTTCTGTCTGGAAAAGAAAAAAGAAAAATGATGAAAATAGTAAAATGAAAAAGGAATTTCCACTTCCACTAACTTAAAATGCAATCAATCATACGACTAAGTAAACGAATGCGAAAGGTTGTTTAACAAAAATAAATAAAAAATTACAAATGCAATCAATCATACGGCTTACAAATTGTTGAGGTACTTTCATTTTTTGGGTGATGCAGTGAGGCTACCTACACCTACACGCATATTAGTGTACCCAATTCTATGTAGGTATAAGCTCACATGTCTTTTTTTTGTTGCTAATTAATGAGATCCTAGAAATTAGGCCAAGATTAGTGGTGCATCAATTCAATGACGACACATCCTTTGATTTAGAGGTGAATTGAAAAAGATGGACAGACCTTAGGAACCAGAACTTTGCGCTCTCAATTCGAACCATGCTCCGATGCTTACACCTCGAAAGTATTATGGAATTAGGAACACTTTTTAATTAGTTACTCTAATGCTACTATTTCACGCTTTGGTTACTTAGGGACGGATCGAAATTGTTTTTGACGTTGTAATATAGGGGTGATGCTCTGGCTTTGAACTACGATCCGATGTTCTTACTTTAAAGGCATTTCAGAATTGGGTTAGGTTATATATATCACCCTCAGCTTGTGGGGCTTACATGTAATGCATCCTGAAGTTGATTTTTGAAGAGGATGTTCTCCTCACAATATATTTCATCATATTAAAAAACAGGGTCGTTCTAAAACTTCTAGCTCCTTCAAAAATTTAAAAGTTTTAAAATTTTATTTTGACCGTTGATTTAAAACGGGTAGATTTGAGGTTATCGATTTTAGATCAGACTAATTTCAAGTAACAATAATCTTCTCATCATAAGCCCTTAGATTCATTTTATGTAGACCCCACAAGGGGGTGAGAGTTAAGGGGAGCTATATAACCTGACTCTTCAGAATTATGGACATTTTTTATTGACTGCTCTGATACCCCATTCCCTCTCCACGCTTTAGTTAAAGTCCAAATGTGTTTTCTTTTAAAAGTATTCAGAAAAACAGTCAAAACCATACACAAAGCCAAAAAGCTCCTCACTAATGAACATAGTAAAAGACGCCCGTAGGGATACAAAGAACCTTATGACAAGGAAGGAAATTGCTTGGAAGCACTAAATGGTTTGGTTAAAGAAAAAAAAACACTACCCCGTCAACATAACTTTTTTTTATGTTTAGGTCATATATAAAAGTTGTGGGGTCTACATGATTACAATATTTTGTGAGTGTGTTTTTTCTGATCATATATATCATTATCACAAAAAAAATTAGTCAATTCTAAAATTTTTAATATAATAAAAAATTGATTAAAAATCAACAATAAGAAATAAACAGTGAGGACTTCGATCTTATTTTTTTATGAGGTTATAAGTTTTAAAATGAGTTGAAATTTTATAGGGATAAAATACATAGTAAAAAGAATTTATGTTCAAATGGACTTTAAAAAAAACAAAAAAAGAATCCGAATATTTGTATACGATGTAACCCCACTCGTATAATAATAATAATAGTCATATCGTATGGGATTAGAATAGAAGCTGGGGAGTTAGGTGACGTCAGTGTGAGTACGTCATTAT